ACATACCGATGCTTCATCAGAGGCTGCACTGAGGATGTTACCCAGCATGGTAATGAAATGTCTGCAATACAAGAAACCAGCTCGGCGAGCCAACCAACCTCAACACCCACAACCTGAGCTACAAATCTACTCCAAAACCTTAGACACCAGGATGTTACTTGAGATGGAGCATTTTAGCCAAGACAACAGGCCGGATAGGTTCAGGGCATTTTCTTTGGAGCAGAGAAGTCCTGGGGCAGGGGGACGGTGAGATTTCCTGAATGAGGTGTATAAGATTATGAAGAACATGGGCAGGGTGGCTAGAAAATAGATGTTTCCCTTAGTCGAAAGATCAATAATGAGAGGGCATAATTTTACGGTGAAGGGCAAGAGGTTTAGAGAGGATTTGAGGAAATATTTTCATCCAGAGGGTGATGGGAATCTGGAATGCACTGCCCAGGAAGGTAGTAGAGGCAGGAAGCCCCAGAACCTTTAAAATGTACATGGATGAACACCTGAAATCTCATGACATTGAAAGCTATGGGCTGGAAAGTGGGATTAGTGTAGATAGGTAACCACAGGCTCAATGGGCTGAAGGGCCTCTTCTGACTGTATGACTCTAAGATATAATGGTCAAAGTAATCACCTTCACTATGCTACTGTAATATCATATGCCTGTAAGACTTAGTGAAAGGTTAACCTTATTGGACAGTTTTTTTTTAAAAAAACATGGAATATAGACTTTGTAATTTAACAAGATGGAGTCAATAGAGAAAAGTGACTTGTTTTATGGTTTTGGCACAACAGTGACAAGCATCATGCCTGGATATGTCTCCAAAAAGTTATTAAAGTGTAAGGTGTCAACAGCAGCGTTGATGATGTTTTCTCCATTTCAATTAGAGAGAGTTAAAGTAACATTGACTGTCAGACTTGCTGACCTAATGGAATTTCAAATAAAGACATTAAGGAGGCAATTTATGACTGGAATTTTGATGCAATATCATTTATTCTCCATTGTGTCAATCAAATCTGCATTCAACTCCTTCTATGGATTAAAAAATACATTGATACTGTCATCACATGGCTGAAACTGATTGGAGAAGAAACCATAAGACACAGGAGCAAAAGTAGGCCATTCAGCTCTGCCATTCAACCAAATCTTGGCTGATAATCTTCAACTCCACTTTCCTATCTTTTCTTAATAATTCTTGATTTCCTTACTGATTAAAAATGCATCCATCTCAGCAGCCTTTTGCACTCCAAGAAAAATAAAATATTATTCCACTTAATTTAAATTGGCATCCATGTTTTTGTTTCTCTAATTCTTGCTTTCATTTCTCTCCTCTCACAGCAGTGATTCATTCTGGAGTACTATTCTAGAACTAGCACAACTGTAATAATTCATCCATGTGATCAGTAATTACTGCTAACAACTGCTGTAATTACATCCCTACAAGTTTACGTAGAAAATGTTCCATTATTAATGTTGTCATGGGAACTTCGAAAAATGACAGAAATGTGGGTAGATTAGCACCAGTTTCAAAGCTATTTCATTGCCACCAAAGAAAAAAAGTCTCTCAAAAAGTTCTCTAACATTTTCTGGAAATTATACAATTGCTCAGCATCTTTTTACAAACTGTATACAGATTCTGCTTTGTTTTAAATATAGAGATTTAAGTATTGACAAATTTAAGCAGCATTAGTACAAGTAGTGTAAAACATCTGATTAATCTAGAACCATCTAATATGGAACAAATTATCCGTTGACATTTTTATGAGCATTAGTGACAAAGTTTAAGATCTTAAAGAGGAAACATCTGTAATGGGTACTGCTACAGAAATAAATACTATAATGATGAATGTAATAATACAGCACAAGGAAAATGTTGCATCATGGACTTTGGGTTTCTAGATGTACATTTGTAAAATATTCTACATTTAAAAACTATACAATGAGTTTTCTAATACTTCTGCTGTTCCAATTTGAACAAATCATGTAAAACCCTATTTGCAGAGTCATAAACATGACCTGACAATAAAGAGACTCAGTTGACAACTACTCACTTAAAATATCAAATCAGCATGTCATATTAACTACAGTTATCATGTTTCAGTTTGATATCCCCTGAAAGAGAAATGAAAACAAGCTCAGTCTCATGGAAAATAAAGAATTCCAGGAAAATACTTTTCCAGCAGCACTTTATTGCTGTGAATTTAGCCAAGTCCATCACATCCAAAAGGGCATATTAACAAAAACAAAATTGTGAAATTGACCAGGAAATTCAGCAAAAGGAAATGGTGGATCACAGAAGAGGAATGGTCGATAACAGGCAATGCTGATTTATTCACTGGGAATTTACTACTTACATAATGAAAGGTTAAACTCAGGAAATGTCAAAGATGACAATGAATAATAGCCTCCTAATGCTTTACAGACATTTATTTCATTCATTGTATCATAGAATCACAGGTGGAAGCAGGTTATTCGGCCCATCGAGGTTCCACACCGACCCTTCGAAGAGCATACTGCCCAGACCCACCCCTGCATCCATGCATTTACAAATGGTTAATCCACCTAGCCTGCACATCCCAGGACACCATGGGCAATTTACCATGGCCAATCCACCTAACCTGCACATCTTTGGACTGTGGACGGAAACTGGAGCACCCCGGAGGAAACCCACACAGACAGGGGGAATGTGCAAACGCCACACAGACAGTCGCCCGAGGCTGGAATCGAACCCGGGTCCCTGGCACTGTGAGACAGCAGAGCTAACCACTGAGTTATCATTTCATACATGGACAAATAACGAAGGAGCTTAACAAACAAACTAAACTAAAATTATGAACAAAATCAGAAATTGTTGGAAAAGCTCAGCAGCTTTTAGAAAGCGCCGTTTTCTCTCCATAGATGCTGCTACAACTGCTGATCCTTTGCAGCAATTTCTGATTTTGTTTCCAATTTCCAGCATCCACAGCACTTTGTTCTCTTTAAAAGATAAAATTATCTTTGGTAATTAGTTCAGCTCCAACTGTGCCATAATCCCTGGCACTGTCCAATTCAGTAACTTCTCCAAATCAGCTACAATATGAAGTAATGCACTGTACTTGCCAACCAGATAAAAATATTTAAAAGAAATGATCAAAGATGAAAGATGACCATCACTTTTTAATAAAACGTGGATTTCTAAAAGCACTGTGATGAGAATGCAATATTTGTCGGCTAAACAAGCGCCACTAGAGTTAGCCCCAAATACAACACAAAACAATTTTCTAATAACCAAAAAGGTATCAAAGTGACCAAAGAGTCAAAACAATCATGTATCAGTGGAGTGATTTTAAATTGTAATTTTCAGCATTTTATTATTCATTAATTTGACATGCACATGATTTGAATGAAGTGGATGATATGAAAAAGGACCTATTAAGTTACACAGATACACAAATTAGTGCCAGTTGAAATCCCACATAGATTAATTTAAGGTTTTACACAATGGCAGGAAAGTCAATCTTATATGTATACTATGGAAAATATTAAAATAACTAAGAATAAAACAGATAAACATGTCGATGTGGTAGTAGATTTAGCATATCAGGTCAGCGGTTACTGAGGCTAAATCATCAATTAAAAGTAGTTGAGAAACAGAAAATAGCGTGAGATTTGAGGGCAGTTTTTCCAGACTAGTTGGAGACAATGGCGCCCAAGCAGATTGAGTAGAGCAATCACTATTGCCCATTGTTTATATTAATAATTTGAATATGCATCTGGTATAAGTTATGTCAAACTTTGCTGCTGATAGCATCATGAAGGATACAGTTAATCCTTTAGCAGTCCAAAGAAAGCTGCAAAGGAATATTGATAAAATGTTGAATAAAATTCATTATACAGTGATAATATATTCATTAACTAAAAAAACCAGAGTGCACTCTGAATGGAGTAAATGGTTCTGTGGAAAAGCTGGAGGTTTTGGGAGCTCACACAAGAAACAACACCCACCCCCATTAAAAATCACTAAATGGAATTCTAGGTCTTCTTGCCATTGACAAAAAATACAAAAGCCAGAATGGAAAGATCAGACAGTCCCAACGAGGTCGGGTAAGAGGATTGATATGGTGACAGAGAACGTAACAAGCAAATCTAAAAGAAAAAGAAAGAATGAGAATGGGTTCACAATTTGAAATTGTTAAAATCGATATTGAAAAAACGCAAGTGAGTGGACTAATTGAATGATTTTTTTTCCAAAAATGTGTGCTCAATGGCTTCTTACAACATAAGTTTTATAACAGCTCAGTTGGACTGCTGTGTACACAACAGCTCAGATAGGTTAAAATGCTGATGTCTGGAGACATACAGGAAATACAAAAGCAAAGACTTGAAGACCTTATGCATGTTGAGGGATAGAAATCTTTGAAATTATAAAAGTTTTTAATAAGGTAGGTGGAAGCGTGGAGGGACAGGGATGTATCATCCTCACTGATGATAATGTTTTGATGAGCTTCTGTTGCAGTTCTGTAACTTTATTGACCATTTGATTTTTTTTGTTGTTACAGTATTATTGTCTAACACAGTTAAGGTTTACTTTAAAGAAAGAAAAAAAAGTGACAAATTTCACAACGTCAGGATATCCCAAAGTGACTGAAAGTCAATGACATACTTTGTTAAAAAAAGTTAGGTGTGGCATCTGTTGCAATGTAGGGAAATACAGCAGTCAGTTTGAGCACTACAAGGTTCCACAAATAGCAATCAAATAAATCTGTTTGTTGATGGTTGTATGTTGGCCACAAGACTGGGAGGCTCTCCCGTTCTTTTTCAAATAGTGTTATCAGATTGCTTATGATCTTATGTTCATCTGAAAGAACTGTTCCAGACACAACACCTCCGACTTAACAGCAATCCCTTGGTACTGTACAAAATGCCTGTCCAGATTCAATAATTACATTCATGAGAAAGCGACAAATACCTGAAAGGGGAAAACAACGTGCAGGAAAAACCAGAAGTGTGGATTAATTGGACAGTTTACCAAACAGCCAGCTCTCGCACAGTGGGACCAATGGTCTTCTCCTGTGCTGCGATTTGCGATTCTTTGACACTTCTAGAAACTGAATGAGTTGGATCAATGGATTGCTTCATGAATCTTCAGAAGTGAGGAATTCGGTGATGTGGAGAAATGAGAAAACTTGGTATTGTTCTTCTTAGAGCAGATAAGGTTCAAGGAAGATTTAAGAGACTTTGGTAAAGTAAATTTGGAGAAACTGACGATTGGTCAGTAATCAGAGGATATAGGGTTAAGATAATTAGCACCTTATTCTTAAACTCTGTTCCTTAGTTCAAGTCTATCAGAAATGGTGAAATATCCTTTCAGAATCCATGAAGTTCCCTGAGAATCTTATATGTTTCAAGAAGATCACCTCTCAGTCTATTAAACTCCAATAGGTAAAATGCGTAAGCTGTTCAACCTTTCTTCATAAGATGAGTCCTTCATTACAGAAATTCAAGAAGAAGAACAAAGAAAATTACAGTACAGGAACAGGTCCTTCGGCCCTCCAAGCCTGCACCGACATGCTGCCCATCACAATTAAAACTACCTCTACTCTTCCGGTGACTGTATCCCTCTATTCCCATCCTGTTCATATATTTGTCAAGATACCCTTTAAAAGTCACTGTAGTACCTGCTTCCACTACCTCCCCTGGCAGCAAGTTCCAGGCACCCCCCACCCTCTGTGTAAAAAAACTTGCCTCGTACATCACCTTTAAACCTTGTCCCTCGTACCTTAAACCCATGGCCCCTGGTAACTGACTCTTCCACCCTGGGAAACAGCTTCTGACTGTCCACGCCCTTCATAATCTTGTAGACCTCTATCCGGTCACCCCTCAACCTCCATCGTTCCAGTGAGAACAACCCAAGATTTTCCAACCTCTCCTCATAGCTAATGCCCTCCATACCAGGCAACATCCTGATAAATCTTTTCTGTACCCTCTCCAAAGCCACCACATCCTCTTGTAGTGTGGCGACCAGAATTGAACACAATATTCCAAATGCAACCTAACTAAGGTTCTATAAAGCTGCAACATTACCTGCCAATTTTTAAACTCAATGCCCCGACTGATGAAGGCAATTGAATGAACCTCCTCCAAATGGTTTCTAATGCAATTGTATCCTTATTTCCAAATAAAGACAAAAATAATTTACAGTACACCATATGGTCTCACCAAAGCCCTTTATAGCTGTAGGAAAATTTCCTAATTTTTATATTTCATTTCCTTGCAATAAATACCAACATTCCTTTTGTTTTCATAATAATTTGCTGTAGCTGCACACATAACTTTTTGTGATTCATCTACTGTGCAAGGATAACCAGATCCCTCTGTATGAGTTCTGTATTCTCTATTCAAATAGTATATTGCTTTTCAATTTTTCCTGACAAAGTGGAGAAATTAACATTTCCCAAATTATACTTGCCATTTTTTGCCCACTCACTTAACCTCCCCTAATCTTCAGTACAAACTGTAAACTATCCAAAATTTGCCACTCATATCTGTTTCATACACCACTCCATCATTTCTACTCTCAGTTACTGACATTGCCTCTCTAGCTTTCAAACCATCTAAATGAAACCTAAACAAATCCCATCATGGCCTCACCTATCTTTGTAACCATTTCTTCCCACAAGTCCTCTGGTTTTCTATACACACCCTCTACCCCACAGTTCATGACTTAACATATTAATCCCACTTTCTGGAATTCCACCACCCCTCACTTCTCAGAAACTACTTAAAAAAATCCCTCTAATGATACTAAATTCTGAGGGAAAATGACAATCAAAATCAGCAAAAACAAAGTATAAGAAGATAATGGGAGTGAACAAAAGTAAATCCAAATATTCCATAGGCATATAAATAATAAAAAATAGTAAACAGAGAAGTGGGACCAATTAGGATGAAAGGCTAAAAAGGTGAAAGTGTGAGGTATGGCTGAGATACATATTAATTTAATATTAATTCAGTACGTACCAAGGAAGATATAAGTTCTATGTCCAGTTCTGGGCATGACACTTATAAATGCACTAGAGTGTGTGCAGAAAAAGAAATCATGAGAATTGCTCTAGGGTAAGAACTTCAGTTGTGAATAGATCTCAAAGCTGTCAGCAGTCTTGAGAATTAGAGGACATCAATTTAACGTGATTGGCAACAAAAGACAGACAACACAGAAAAAAAAACTTTTTACAAGTAGTTGGGAATCTGAAACGCGCCGTCAGTGTGCGGTGAAATCTGTTAAATCGATGCTTTCAAAATAGGTAGGGGAGTTGTCCGAGATTCTGCACTAACACGATGGGCCAAATGGCCTGTTTTTGCTAGCACCATTCTCTGACCTGCTGTCCACTGTGGGAAATTTTGTTTTGTGATTTAAAGAGATAATAAATGCGATTTGTTGAGATTGAGAATGAATCATTGAAGTGGCGTTTTCGAAATCTGTCCTATTCCTAACCCCCTCCTGTCCTCTTCGTTAACCAGAAGCCCAGCTCCGAGAAGAGGATTCTGGTCTCGTTTAACCGGAGCTAATTTCTGAAACACCAGTTAAATAAATAAAACTGCGGGAGCTGGGGATGTGAAACAGAAACAGCTGGAGGAACTCAGCGGGTCTGAGTGAAGAATAACTCTGCTTTCTCCCCACACAAGCGGCCAGCCCTGCCGAGTTCCTCCGTTTATTTCTGTTTTCCCTCTGTGCGGTACCAGTGACAGGCTCAGCCTGTTCCTCCCTTCACCCCGGGCCGGGCTGCGATGAACCCCAGGTCCCGGGGCCTGAGGCCCGAGGCCCGGCCTTTAGCAGTTACCTTCCGGAGGGAATCCCTCAGACTGTAGTGCTCCTGAGTGTAGATAATGTCCTGATGCGGTGACACCGAGCTTGTTTCACGGGCCGCCTTCTCCGAGTAACAGCGGGCCCCAGCCCCGGCCCCGATCCGGCTCCGGAGGAACATCCGACACCCGCGGGAGACCATGGTGACTGAGAGTGCGCAGGCGCCGGGGCTGGTGGGGTAAAGGGGGAAAACAGGGGACAGTATCCCGGGGGGAGGGGGATAGGGGGCAGTATCCAAGGGGGAGGGGGATAGGCGGCAGTATCCAAGGGGGAGGGGTCAGTATCCAAGGGGGAGGGGGATAGGGGGCAGTATCCCAAGGGAGGGATTCAGGATCTGAGGGGAGGGTGATAGGTGTCAGTATCACGGGGGAGGGTGGGGGTAGTATCCTGGGTGAAGGTCAGTGGTCGCATTCAGAGGGGGTATGGTGGACTGATTAAGTAACTAGGATAAGATGAATGGCGGGAGTGGGCTTTGGCGGGGTAGAGATGGTTAAACAGAGGGAGAAAGTGAGTTGTCGGTTGTCAGTTAGGGGTGTTGATGGGATGGTGCGGGGTCAGGGTCAGGGTGTATGCACTTGGGGCAGACTGAGTGTAGAGAGCCCTCGGCTGGAGGCGTTCATGGTACGTGCCAACATTCTGAAGATGAGTCATTCTGGATTCAAGACATTAAAACTGTTTGTATCCCTATAGAAGCTGCCTCGAGTTTCTGTAGCACCTTCAGCTTCTTATCACTGTGGAACATCTTGAAGCTACAGTGTGTGCTGAATTCTTGCACCACTCGTTCCAAAAGTCATCACCAAATTTGTTAAATCCGGCAGCTGTGAGTACTTGCTTATATATTAAGAAAACTCAGTGGTGCGTTTTGCAAACCCAGCAAATTTGCTTAAAGAATGCCAAAGGCCATGTGCAGCCTACACTTCAGGAGATGGTAGTTCAAACACACTACATTTTTATGAAAGTACAGCATATGCTGAAAAGTCGCACAATGCAAAACCTAAAGATTACTATAAGTAAATGAAGTGAGACTCATTTTTAGGTTAAAGTTTAACCTGTTTGGTACATTTCGTTTGAAAATTAAATACCATTTAACTTGCTAAATTGGATGTGAATGAGTTCAAAGTCTAGTACTCAGAACAGTTTCATTAATGTTGACTGCTGTCTGTAGCAATGTATTTGCTTGTTATTGTGAAAAACAGATCAAACACATTGATTGCAAAATACATTGAACTGCTTTGGAATACCCATTTCTTTATTTTTCCGAAAGGAAACTGGAAACAAAGGTGACTTCACAAGCATTGATGGAAAAATATATTTGTATAAATCAAAGTCTATATTATGTAATTTTAGTGAAGTTTATAATCAGCAATTCTGTAGCAGAATTGTTCAAGGAATTAAACAAAAAAAACAAAGAACTGGGGTTACTGGAAATCAAAAACTAAAACAAAAAAAGAAATTACTGGGAAAACTCATCAGGTCTGTCAGCATCTATGGAGAGAGAGCAGAGTTAATGTCTCGGGTCCAGTGATCCTTCAGAAGCAGTTTCAGCAATTTGTGTTTTGTTCTAGGAATTCTTCTGCAGAAAAAGTTTCACTTCCAAAATATGCCCTTCATTATTTCATATAAATAGCATAGGAGAAGAATTTGACCCAGTGCCTGGCTCACATTTGTTCCTTGACTCTTAAAATATATGACTTTTTAAAAACTGTGACTTGGAAACGTTTTTGAGATTTTGCTGTTTGCAAATTGGCTATCGCAAATCCTACCTTACATTTTAAAAGCTTTTAATTGGCTTTAAAGCACATTGGGATGTCCTAAGGTCTTGAAATGTCCGATATAAATGCATCTTTTTCTACAGTAGTATCCAAATATACTACAAAAATTATTAATTTAGAAATAATTATAGCATTTTAGGAATTTTGCAGTGTGCTCTGTACAAAATTTTTGTAAACAGAAATACTTTTCTCAGAAACTTTTTCAGATACTTTTAATTTTTAAGATGTAAAGGCATTTCAATCACAAGACACAAGGGTCTGCAGGAATGGAACAAAAAAGGGAGTTTGTTTTCATTTGTAGATTATGTGATACTCTGTGTGTAATAATCAGTTGAATTATTGAATTGTACCATGATGTACTGGCTTTGTTATATTCTGTAAATTATGCAGCATGGGGAGCATTGTTTTTAAAGTTGCTAACCAACCTACAAGACAAAATTTAAAATATTTGGGGCTCTCTACAAACTGCACAAAATCTATATTGTATTATAGAAAACCTTTCATCAACATTTCTAAAAAAAGTTACTTAATTTTGACTTATTTTATGTTTCTACATCATTCATTCTAACATCCAACACATTATTCACAACTCTATCATTTGGATTTGCATTCTGTAATTACACTTTCCTGCCGGTGAGATCACTGGCTTAGTTTTGTGTCTCCCAGCTCTGCTATCACCATTGCTGCAACTAAACCTACATCTCTGCTTTTCAAATTGCTATATGTTCTGCTAATTAAGTAAAATAACATAAAATCACAATATCACACAAAATTGAGATCTGAATGTATGAATTTGAAATAGTCCGATGTGCACGCTTTGGTCAAATTAGCCCTCCTCCCAGCGGACTTCACATTTTATTCTTGGATTAGTACAAGACACAACATTCGCCATTTGCACTCAAATTACTTTTTACACATCCTTCTTCCCCAACTAAGAAGACCTTCACTTTGTTCACACTGCCCCACTGAGGAGCACATTTTCCTTTACGCATTCCTGCATTAAGAAGCAGACTCATCGTGTATCTATTCACCCCACTGAGAAGCACTTTGTCCAAACTTCCTCACTCAGAAATAATATTACTTTAGACCCGAGGGACTTAATGGCTCCCGTGATCCCAAGCAGACTCATGATATTCAGCTTTGACCATACAAAGTGAAACATTTTTTTCCCCATCTGTCTCCAACTGAGAATCAAGCTTGCCCCAGAACCCCTCCCCAACACAGCACACCTTTGCGCTCACCTCCCCCAGGTTTATCTTAATCTGAAACGTCCTCTCAATTAAAAACTGATTCAGCTGTGTATCTGCCATCCCCTCCACCACTCTCACCCAAGCAACATTTGAGTTTGTATCTTCGCACCCATTGATATTTTTAAATACATTTAAAGTTTGCAGTTTTGCTAACAAATTCGGCATTTATTACCCATTCTTATTTTTTCATCAAACAACTGAGTGGCTTGCTCCATTCAAAAGGCAGTTAAGAGGCAACTGCATTGCAATGGTCTGAAGTCTTATAAAGGTTGGAACAGCTAAGGACCACCTCTTCCCTAAAGGATATCAGTGAACCAGATGGGGTTTTGTGACATTCTGGTAGGTTCATGATTGCCATTACTGAAAATAGTTTTTGTTTTAAATTCATATCTTTTCTTCGTTCATTGATTTTGAATTCCTTGACCGATGCAATGGGATTTTAACTGACATTTCTAAATCATCAGACTGGGTCTTTGCATTATTAGCTCAGTGACAGAAACTCTCCACTAACCATTTTGGCACTTTCCCCATTGTATTTTCCCTTTCTTGCACAGTTAATCTCAGATGTAAATTGCCAACAGTACAAGGTGCCATTCCACATACTTGGTCACATAATCTTAACTGGCATACCAGTGCAGTACTGAGGGAGGTCTGCACTGTTGGAGATAATGTCTTTTGGATGATAAGCTGAATTAAGATTCCTTTGATCCTTTCAGCGTAATGTAAAAGATCCCATGGAACTATTTCATGAAAGTGTGAGTGTTCTTCCCAATATTGACCATTTATTCCTCAACATCACCAGCAAATTGTATTAATTCATTAGTTGTCACATTTTTTTGTGGTCCTCATTGTGCATGAAGTTGATTGTTGTGTTAACAGTATCAAAACAGTGACTGCACTTCTACAGTATTTTACTATGTGTAAAGCAACTTTGGGACATCTCGAGATAGTGAAAGATCTTATATAGATGCAAAATTTCCTGAAGAATGGGATTTTGACCTTTGACCATTTTACTACTTTTATGACAATTAACTTTTTCAGCCTGCAACACTTATTTTCCTGAAGCACAGAAATCAGTTGCAAATTTATTGTTCACTGCTGAACAGTTTCAGTTTCAGAGCAGTGATATATTCTGGTCGGAAGAATGAGGTGAGGTAATACGAACTACATAAAGTCCCACTGTTGAGGGAATGCGTTCCTGGTTAAACATCCTAAACTATGGAATCATGAACAATGAACATGGTTTATAATAGGAGTCAACAGAATAAGTTCCAGGTTTATCATACTTTAGGTAGCTAAAGAACACATTTTCTGTTGTGTGTCCATGCCAGCCATAGACCAAGAAATCAGTACCCTCTTCTCATTGGTGTTGGTTTTTATGGTAAAAATCGAAGGAACTGCAGATGCTGTAAATCAGGAACAAAAACAGAAGTTGCTGGAAAAGCTCAGTAGGTCTGGCAACATCAGTGAAGAAAAAAATCAGTGTTAACGTTTCAGGTGCTGTAACCCTTCCTCAGAACACTCAGTGTTCTTGGTTTTGTTCTTGGTTTTTATGGTGCTGTAGTAGCATCCCTATCGCTGAGCCACGAGGCCTGCGTTCAAGTACGACCCACCCTAGACGCGTATAATAACATGTCCGAGCAGGTGGATTAGAAATTATCTAGGAATTAATGTTTAGTTTCTGGCATCATTTTCCTCGAGTGCAAGATGAAAAGCTTCAACTTCATGTCTCTATTTAGTACTGTTTAATTCGATACTACCACACGATTATTTTGGTTAATATATATAAAATGCTAGTTAGTGTGCAGCGTGGATTCAATTCTGAACATAACAGAAAGACGGGATCTCAAAGGTTGAAGAGAATGTTGGAAGAAAAATACAAGAATTGCATCTGGAAGAGGGAGCTTGATTATGCAAAAAGACCAGCGAAGCTGGGATTGTTCATCTTAAAGAAAAGGTGAGAAGGAGATTAGTTAGAGACGTTCAAGATCATGAATGGGTTCAATGCATAAATAATAACTGTTGCTGTGCCAGAAGTAACAATGGCCAAGAACACAGATTTAAGGTAATTTACAGTCCTTGAACATTTTTTCATCTTGCAAAATCCTTCCTGAATCTCCATTTTGAAACTTTCCAATCAGGTATCTGTCCCTGCTTCAGTACCAAAATGGCTCAAAGTCCCAAATTACACCCCATCTGACTG